TCATTTTATTAAAAAATAACTAATATATCAATTACTTAATAGCAAAAAAGTTATTATTTTAATGATCACATGACATGTTAATAATAAGATATATTATTTATTTATTTTATGAAATGATCAATTTAAAATTATGCACTCGCCTTCTGCACTCTCCGGCCAATACTTTCACTTTTATTGGGCCACGTTATTCTAGTCGCTAAGAGGTTGCACTTCAAAGCTGAAACAAGCTTACGTGGCCCAATGAAAGGGGAAGTGTTGGCCGGAGAGTGCAAGAGGCGAGTTCCGCCTAGCACTGCTCAAACGTGAGTTGGGATTACCCGGAAATTATGTCAACCTGATCCCACACGCCGCACGTGCGTTCTCTCTTTTTCACTTACTATTTATCTGCAATTATATTGTTAAAGAGAGGAGGGATTTGTTCGAGGATGATCTTCCTGCAGTCGTGTAATTCTCATCTTCATTATTATTTATCTGCATTTATTGCACTCTAATAATCTGGCGGCCGACAACGCACGTTCAATGGACTCTAACAATTTCGGGTCCACGCGCATTAGAAAAAGTGAGCAGTGCTAGGGGCACTCGCCTCTTGCACTCTCCGGCCAACACTTTCACTCTTATTGGGCCACGTTATTTTCGTGGTAAGAGGTTGCAGTTCAAAGCAAGAAACAAGCTTACGTGGCCCAATGAAAGGGGAAGTGTTGGCCGGAGAGTGCAAGAGGCGAGTGCCCCCCTAGCACTTCTCTAAAAAATTTAATAATACCATCATGTGGGCATTCAATAACAGAGGTAGTATCTCAACCCAATCATCACCTTCCTCAGTATTGTCTCTTCCTTCTTCTCTCTTCCTTCTTCTTTTTCTTGCATCAAGTTGGATTTTGATGAAGAACTGGTGGGTTTGAGTCATCTATGGAGGGTAAGAAAGAGATAAAGATGGAGTAGTTGATGGGATCTTCATCATTTCTTGATTATATCTCGAGTTCTTACCAAGGGGTGTTTGATTTGAGGGAAGGGGAGAAGAGTGGTGGTTCATTAGGGTTTATTGACCTTTTGGGTCTTTAAGATTTTAGTGCTTCTCTGTTAGATCTGAATCCGGCCGGTAGAAAGATGGAATCTCCGAAGGTTTTGAATCAGCCTGCAACGCCAATATTGATCTTCTTTCTTACTTCTTTAATGTTCTCTGCAACAGATTCCAAACCATATGACTATCTGCAATACGTGGTACAATGGCAACCCGCTGTTTGTAGAATCCCATACTGGCCATACACGCGGTGCAACAAACCAATCAAACAAGTTTTTACAATTCATGGGCTCTGGCCAAGCAATTTCAGCGGAGCAGATGTGAACTGTAGAAATGGGACCGGATATGACCGAAACGAGGTAATAAAACATTAACTGTTTCGTCATTCTCTATTTTCCTCTTTTTTTTTTTTTCTTTTTTTTTTTTTTTTTTAAACCTTTTAGAAGGCTTGTCAGTGATGTTAATTAGTTTCTTGATTGAAGGTGAAAATTAATGGCTAGCCCTCTATGAAACTGTCAGCCTCTTAACTATGAACTTATAACATAGAAGTTTTAGTTTCTCATCTTTTGGATCCACATGAGAACTTACTTCCTCGTCAATATTTCGTTATTCATTGTCATATTTATTGCCATAATAGATTGTTATTATAGACATTGATAATAAAAGCACCAAAAACTCTTGCTCACTCTGAAAGTGAGCTCAAATATATTTATCTAAAGCACCTGCAGCTTTGGCGGCCTTGCTTTGGGTGAATTGAATTTTTGGCATTTGTCAGATTCATCTGCTGTCGTAGCAATCAAATTATCCCCATTCTCTCATGTTTGGAAATATATTTATCTAAAAACTAAAAATATATAT